GTGGGAACAATTTTAAAAGGTAAAGGAATGAAAGCTTTAACCCTTTCCCTGCCACCATGTGACACGAAGATAGCGGCCGTGACATGCAGACAAACTATAATGACCGGAGTTTGTTTACATGTCAGCTGGCCTTCGAGCGGCTTCAAGTGATTGACTTCGATGCATGTCAGGTACACCCAAAATCAATTGCGCCTCACATTAGGCCTCACCACGCACGCCGGAGCGCAAACAATCATTCCAGGGCCATCGATGGCTGTTAAACTGATCACCCCATAGGAGCTTTTAACGCATCGCCTATAGACTATTATGGGTACCAGAGTTTTGCGCCATTTTGAGACGTCATGTTTGGTATCTATTTAATCCACATAACCCCTTTTATTTTACCCAAAAAAAAAAAGAGACGTTGGGGGGCATTAATCAAAACTGGAGCAGACAAAATCTGGGAGTAGATTTGCACTGCAACCAGCTTCAATCTCTCATTTTCAAATCCCAACTGAGCGAGAGAAGCCGAATGGTTGCCATGGGCAACTGCTCCAGTTTTGATACATTCCCCTCATTATATGCTAAAATTAAATGCATTTTGTACCGAAAATTTGAGTTTGATAAACAGTAGCGCGAATATCATGTACGATAAAAAATTAGGACCGCCGACATTTTATTCTCCGGTGTCTGTCAAAAAATTGTGTTTTTGGAGGTTTTAAGTAATCCTGAGGCCTAAAATGCTCAGAGATGGGGACAGACATCGAACAGTGCGAGGGCCTGAGCACACATTATATGGAGGAGAGGCAAACATATGGATTGGGGAGCGCACACACACACCTTTTCCACACGGCCCACGAAGCACACGGGCTGCCCCATGTACCGGGCCAGCATGCTGGTGTTGATCCGGGGTCTGGGTAACTCATCGATCTCCCCCATAGCTTTCCGCGGAATCCTCTCACGCTCTCTGAACCTGGCGGGAAACAGACCCCAGCTGACAAAGCTCTGACCAATCAGCGGTCGCCGAACTACCAATGACCCTGCACTTGTCTCCGCTGTGACCAATCATCGAACTTAGCCCTGCCTCATATACTTTGTACCAATCACCGCTGAACAATCTTTGCCGCACGCAGGTCGGCCAATCAGCGAGCACGCACATTACGGGCGGAGAGCCAGAGGCACCATTTTTGTTCACGGCAAATATCTTTTTTTCTGTTATAAAATAAAACAGCGCTAAATACGTTATTATAAGAATAGTACTAAATCCACGTGCGTGCTCTTAGAAAATCTAAATAAAACGATTATTCAATATAGGAACCATCCAGCGCCGGAACGTATGAGCTAGAGCCAAGGGAAGATTTTGAATGACGGACATTTTGGGCGTGCGTGGTTAAGCTAGACTTTGACGTCATGACGGTGTGTAATGTGAGTGACAGTGCTGGGGGCGGGGTTTTAGTATTCGCAGTACACATTGGAAAGGAGCTCACCTACCTGGCTGGGGGGTAAGTAGGTGGCTCTCTGGGAGGTGAGTGAGTGTCTAATAATCTGTCAGGGGTGTATACTGGAGGGATAAACACAACTCCATGATATAATGAGGGGAGGAGAGTGTAATGTCACTGAGTGTTACTTTTATGTGGTGTGCTCCTCTAAGGCAGTGTTACTCCTCTGTTATATGATGCACGTAGTTATAGCAACATGGGAACCCCCCCTCCCCCCAACAGGAACCCTGGGGGGCCCCTAAAAGTCTGGATATTTGATGACAGCTCAGCCTGACCACACCTTTATATCACTATAGCGACCATATAAACTGACAGGTCACTATGGAGAAGGAGGAGGATGGGAGTTATTGTTTTCAGTGTGTTACAGTGGATCCACAGTGGGGCTACCTCAGCATTGAGGGTTAACTGACTGTTCATGCCTGGGGGTATAGTGAAGGGGACTTTTACTGACCTGATCCCCGGTGGTCGGTGTTCACCTCTGTCCCCTTGGCTCCGGCTTGTGGACTGTCTCTCGGTGTGTAATATAATGAAGGGCTATGGGCCCTGTTTTGTACGTGGTGATATCAGCGGGCCGCAGGTATCAGGTAAGTAAAAAGTCCTTTACACAATACCCCTAGACAAAAACCAGTAGTTAGTGCCATCTTTTCACGGGGATTGGTATTCTGGAACCTGTATTGATTACACCGCGGGGTACGGTTGTCTTAGAACCTGCTCTCCAAGGACTGTGCGGTATATGGAGAGATGCAACAGCAAAAAGTTTCCCAGCACACTCACCAGCCAGCATGCAAAAAAACTTGTCTCACCGATAAGGTTAGAAACAGAGGTTTAGATACACGTCTTCTGCAGAAAATGTGAAAGCCGCACAGCCGCGTCAAGGCACCTCTATATAGTGCGGTCTTAACTCTAACCTATGAGAGTCTCCATCTTGGAGCACATGTAGCAAAAGATAAAATGGAGAGATGAGCTGTTTCCATGACTGATCATGGGGGAGGGTTTTGGGGGTGGAGCTTAGAAAATAAATACTTGTTTCCTGTGTTCCTTTAGCGCCATCCAGTGGACATAATTCAAAATTAAATCAGAACATTCAAATTTAAAGAAGCGCTCCAGGCAAATAAAATCTTACCCCTGGCATTGGGGCTCCCCCCACGCAGCAAGGATTAAAAGAGAACTGAGGGGTAACCTTTTTATCCATAGTTCTCTTTAGGGTCACAGTAGGACATATACTAACCTCCTCCTGAGCTCAGTATATGGCAGGCTATTGCCTGCCATATACTGAGAGCCCCACAGCCGGGATGGTTCCCGACAATACTGTTGAGATCCACCCAGCTGGCTGATTAACAGCGGGCTCTGCCTATCTAGAGGCAGAGCCAGCTGTGCCCGTCCCCTACCCGTCCGTTCCTCCAGTCAGCGCTGGAGGATCGGAGCGGGGAGGGGGAATCCCTGCTGACAGTCACCGTTCTCTGCAGGGAGATGATCGGGAAGGGAGTGAGTGAGCGACGGTATGTGTTCTCTCACTTCCTGATCTATAGAGCCGACCTGTGACAGTCTCATTGTCACACGTCGGCTCGAACTATGAGGATGAATGGAAATCACTCACCTCCATAGTTCTCCTTTAAGTGCTTGTTTTGCCTAGGGAGGTAAAATAACAAAGATATACTCACCTGAGCCCCACACCCCGCCCCTAAATGAAAACGGGCACTCATCCCTTGCAGTGTGGGGGTTTCTCCATGACTGGACCCTTACCTATAGGACTACTTCACCTTATGAGGATTATGTGTGTAAAGGAAATGGATTTTTCTTTTGTTGATTGTCTGTAAAAATGCTGCCGGTACCTTAGTGGTTGTCGGTTTCGTGCTCGGTCGGCCTGTAGGACATTTAGGAACTTCTTTTACTAACCCAGAAAGTAAATAACAGCCTCCCTTTACCCTCCCCCACAGATACGAGGCCGGTATAACATCCCAGAGATGTTCAACTTCTTCAGGAAAAGCCAAGACACTAAGAAGAGTCCAGCACAGGAGAAGGAGACCGATGGGTTTGTCTTCCTGGGTAGGTAGAGCCTGTGCCACCATGTTGGATGGGTGCTGTGTGTTACCTCAATGGCTCCTTGCACATAGGGCACTGACACTTCTCTGCAGATGTACAATTCAACCAAGTGATGTGGAATACCTACTGTGCACACTCATCCTGTGTGTATGGCCATCATGCTGATCCACTGGCTTCAGTGCTTTCCAGGACACTGACCCAAAGAAAGTGCACAGGAGTCATTCGTAGCTGTAGACACAGAACATTGAAACGAGAGACAGCCATGCAGCTCATGTTTTTAGAGCCGGTTTCACACCATAAACAGTGGGTCAGGCTCTGGAACGCACTGAATCGCATTCCGGCCGGCTTCTTGCATTCAGGAGCGGGAGGGGGCGTGGCGGTGCATTGAATGGCACCGCAGCCACGCCCCCCATCCCCCTCCCCCCGCACCATTACGCGTGGCACATCAGTGCCTGTGGTCTGGTTCAGCGCGATCTGGAAAAAAAAGTGCTTGCAGCCTTTTTGCTGATCACACTGTAACAGAACATGTGCCACACGTTCTGGTGCGGGCGATTGCCATTGACTTCAACGCACTGCCACGCCCTCTCCCGCCCCTGAACTACACTCAGGAATTAAATCTTAAAAAAACGCATTGAAGTCCCTTAACTATTAACAAAAATGTATCTTATTTGTGAAGATATTGGTGCTGACACCGTCCTTCCTTCTGGAGGGTGGCTACAATCTCATGTTTAGTTTATTATTTGTACTGATTTGTATCTTGGTCTAGGTCCTTGGACTGCCCTAGACCAAGACAAGCAGGTAACCCTTGCAGTGCAGTGATAGCCCCACAGCAAGGGATCAATGTTTATTCTGCTGAGAGTTCTTCTTTAACTTACATGCTTGCTGTTCCATATTTAAATGACTGCACCTGAAATACAGATTTGCACATTCTCCATCAGATAACTATCTGTATATAAGGCAGACAGACGGCATCCATACTGATCAGCTGCTTTGTTTAAAGAAGGAGCCACGTTTTGTATGATTGAGAATATTTAAATACATTTTTAAAACAAAGTTCACTTACCTTTCTTGTCCCCCACCCCCTGACCTAAATGTTCCCACCCTCCTACCCCCTCCCTCTGCAAACCCGTACTTATTCAGATCCAGTGGGCATGGTACCTTTTATTATTTACACTACAGTGCCACAATGCTCCTTCTGCTAGCCACACCTGGACATTACAGCCTATAGACTTCTATGGGGCCAGCAGGAG